ACCCCCCGTGGAACCCCCTGCCCCTCACCCCCCCTCGGAGCTCCTGATCCAGAACCGGTTCTTACTCACTACTACTATTAGCTTATTTAATTATTATTTGTAGAATTTTATGTTGTTATATGTGGTAATAATTAAGAATTTATTCAAAATTAATTAATGTGAATTGGAATTCTTAAAATTAAACATTTTAATACGCTGCTTGGCTTTATATTTTTTACTTTTTAATTTTGTAATTTATAATTATTGAATCATATAACCTTAAATTTGTCAAAATGCATTACTTCTACTTCTCTCGTAGCACGAAGTGAGCCAAGCGAGAAAATTAATTAACAACATGGAAAGGCAACAATAAATCTTTTACACGTTTTCAAGAATGAAAATATATTGCAAAATGTAACTCTAAAATATAACTGTATACATGTTTGTTTATTTGCAAAATACAAACGTTTATAATAACTAAGAAGGAATTTCCTTCCTAAGAAGGAAGTACTGATCTGAAAATATACACCGAGTCTCACAAATGCTTATCGCGCATATGCAGAGTCCTCGACAAAGATATAAATATTTTTATAGAGAATAAATTAGCATCAGAATATATCACTTCGTTGAGCGAGAAATCCTTTTGATATGTCCATTATAATTTTTTACTTCTCTTAAAACGGAAACTTCGCCAGTAATTTCTTATGATCTCCTGCGAGTCACCATGCAAATGTTATTATTTATCATTTTGAGTATGCGCCAGATTTTGCTCGTTTGTGAAACGGTGATGCATCGTGAAATCCGTAAACCACGATATGCACTCTCGATCTTGATTTGATTGCAAAATTTTCTATTTTTTCTCAAATTTATACCTTAAATCTCGTCTCAGTGATCTCGTCTTCATTGAGATAAAGATCAATCTCGGTATCTTTCGAAACACTATAACCATCACACGTAATTATGTAAAACACAGTATAACTTCCTGTATTACAATGTTGACTTTTAAATTTGTCGAAATTTTTTTGTGGTCTATTGTACACTAAAACGAAAAGAAAACCTATTTATCGGAAGATTATATTTTCACTAAGAGAAAAAGAGAAAAAAGAATTACTCACATATTTTGTCCATCTCATCGAAAGTAGTTTTTCTAACTTGCCACCAAACCAAGCAGAAGAACAGCATCCTACTAAGGATACTGTAGGAAATAGTTTTTTGAATATTGTAGCATCACTCTAGTCATATCCAAAATTTCGATTTCCTACCGTAAACATAAATCCTATAGAATGTCTTTAATTTCACTCCATCCTTAAATAACATTAATTTCTCTTCAATTTTCTCCTTTGTATTGCAACTCGATTCCAAAATCGTGTACCACGTCCAAATAGGGCCAGTGATTAGAACAGTGACGATAGAATTATTTTCACATTCAGTCTCAACGTCAGTAGGTTTCGTTTGTCCTTTGCATAGTGATCAGCATGTGCATGTTGTACGCAAATATCACCAAATTCTCCACTACATATGCAAATGTTTGTTTCTTTGTTGAATTCGTTTTTATTCATGCTGAATACATGCAAAAAGAAATAAATATGTTATCAAGCATTAAAAATTGTAATACAACAGTTAGATATACTTAAGGGGTTATATCTACCTGAAAAAAAATTTTTTGCCAATTTTTTTTTTTTTGCCTAAATTACGTAAAAACATGTTAAAAATGATGTAAGACGTGATTTATTGTCGAAAAAAGTTTTTAAGTGCCCGAAAACGACGAATTTTTGAAACAACTCCAAACGCGCGAAAATGACAAATTGAGTTTCGAAGCGAGTTTTGTCCCTTTTGCTTGTTACCGACGGTACGACGGCAGTCTAAATAGTGTCTAAATAAGCCACAGATGTTACTACTTGGTAGTTGGAAGGCAAGTATTGATCGAATGTTGCCTGTGTTGCCAGATTGGCCGTTGAAATAAAAGCGTAAACACGTGTTGCGAGCGTCGTGCGGACAGTTTTCTCGTGCCTTCGAGTAGTATTTTCGATTATTTCTCAAAATTTGTGTCAAATCATGAGTGATAAAGTGTACGAAGGCAGGAAAGGTAATAAAACTCTAAGCACCACTACCAAAAGAAGCAAGATTAGTAATCGAAGGCCTCCTAACCGGCATTCTTTGGACAGCGTACCAGACGAGTTCTTGAGTTCTGCGGCCAAGAAGCTGAAATACGACGATACTGGCGAAGACAGGGATATCGACGAAGCTTTCGGATATCGTTTTATCAATTTTATAACGATATTTACCACGTTGTCACAATTGTTAGTATGCAAAAAATGCAAGGGCGATGTAAGTTTTAAAGAAGCAAGCAAGCGTGGGCTCGGTTTTAAATTGGTTGTCAGTTGTAACAAATGTGGTGAAAATTACATCAATAATTGCCCGCTTATAAATAATCATTCATATGAGATTAATGCAAGAATGACCTACGCAATGCGTATTCTGGGAATTGGATTAAATGGTATACAGAAATTCTGTGCCTTTATTTTATGAATCTTCCGAAGCCTGTTTTTCAATCGACGTATCAGAAGATAGTAAAAAATATTATAACTGCGACTGCACTTGTAAGAGATCTAAGCATGAAGAAAGCAGTAGAAGATGAAATAAAACAAACCCTCGAACACCAAGAAAATAACGAGATTATTGTTTCGGCACGGTTCATGAAGGAAAAGAGGCTTCTCTTCGCTTTTTGGTTTAGTGACCCTTATCGGTTGGTATACCGGGCAAGTAATAGACGTATGCGTAAAATCTAAATATTGTAAAGCATGCAAATATTGGAAGAAGAAAGAAGGAACTGCTGAATACGACGAATGGGCTGAAAATCATGACTCAGAATGCCAAGCTAATCATACAGGATCGGCGGGAAAGATGGAGGTGGACGCAGTTGTTGAAATGTTTCAACGATCAGAAACTCTTTACAACGTTAAGTATGGTAGTTATATAGGCGACAGCGACTCAAAGACGTTTAAAGGTGTCATTGATGCCAAGCCATACGGCGATTTCACCGTTGCGAAAAAGGAATGCATCGCTCACGTCCAAAAGAGAATGGGAACACGGCTGAGAAATTTGAAGAAAAAAACGAAAGGTCTGGGAGGCCGTGAAAAATTGACGGGAAAACTGATAGATGAACTGACCATTTATTATGACCTGTCAATTAGAAGAAATACGGAATATGTTGACAAAATGCGTAATGATATTTATGCGACGTTATATCATAAGATTTCAACGGACGACAACCCGCAGCACGAAAAATGCTCGAAATCGTGGTGCTCTTGGCAAAAAGCGCAAGCTGCAGGAACTATCAATAATTACACACATAATCCACCAATGCATGACGATGTCTTCAAGGCTATTAAACCGATTTACGACGAACTCAGTTCTGATGAACTTTTTATCACGCTGCTTGGGAGGATTCACGCAAAATGTCAACGAATCGTTCAATTCTGTTGTGTGGTCGATCGCTCCAAAAATGACTTCAAGCGGAAAGGACATCATCAATATTGCGATAAATATTGCTGTAGTAACATTTAACGACGGATTATGCAGCATTATGAACATCATGGATGTGCTCGGCATTACCGTCGGCCGTCAATGTTACGAGTTTTGTTTGCAAGTCGACTCGCGCCGCATTCAACTCGCCGAGTCCTCGACGTCCGAAGCCGCCAAAATCAGCCGTCGCGCAGCAAAATCGGCCAAAAAGGAAGAAGAGCAGCACGACATTGATGTGGAAGGCCAGCTATATGGTGCTGGGATAGCAGAGTAAAGGTAAAAAAATCAGCAAGCCTATATCTTAAAAGTATCATGTAGAAAACACATTGTCAAACTTTAAACGCGTTTTTCTCGAAACCACGTTTTCAAACGCGGCAAGCAGCAGAACTCAAGTAATTTTTATCCGATTGACTTGAAATTTTCAGGGTAGCTTCTTAGATAGATTATCTAGTGAAGTACACACGATTATTAAGATTGATAAACAATTACATTTTTTATAAACAAATTAAACTCGATTTTTTAGTCGAAAAATCGCATTTTTTTTCAAGATGCTGCCAAATATTCAAAAATCAATATTTCTTAATATGCATGTGTACTTCACTAGCTATACTCATGTAGATAATGAAAAAA